GTGTATTCTTTGGCTCAGCTTTTACTGTTGATTCCATATATTTTCCATTACTTTATATTCTTTATTCGTGTTGTGTTAGGCATCTACAGGCTTGCTCCACAACAAATTTCATTGTACTTGTACAGCGACTTTAAAGATCTCTGTAATCTCACAAATGTGTCATAAAAAACACCAACATGTCAAGGAAATATAATTTCTAAACATTTAAGAGACGAGCAATATCATTAAATCAGGATCATTCATTGTGAACTCACCTCCCATGTTGCACAGAGGTCTGTGTGGTGGTAAATGTATTTTCCGTCCTTGTCTTTTGGATAAAACTCATTTCCAGGCTAAAATTCAAGCACAACATAAATAAATTCTTGTTAGCTTAAGATAAAGGTTCCTGAGAGACTGCATTGACCTGATCTGGTCATTATCGGTGCAAAGGAGTAATAGTCTACGACTTGGACATTTTTGTGGATTTTACCACTTATACACATATTATAATGTGAACACAACAACCTGAAACAAACCCAGATTGTTCCAGTCAGTGGCTCTGATGACATTTTAATAAAGTAGCCTTTATATTTTATTTCATAATAATAAAAACTTTCATGCATGTTAGATTATGTATGAACATTCAGATGTATTATCAAATTTGTATTTACATCCTTTGTTGTTCTCTTTTTTGTTTTTTTCAAATAGTTTTCAGTCAGCAAAACTGAAGTATCTTCCTCTTTTTTTTTTTTTTTTTTAGATAATCCTGTTGTTGAGAAAGGAAAATTATAATAACAACTTTTCAATTTAACACAACCTTTTTGTGTTTGTAGGGTAACTTTCAGACTGAAACGTTTGGCTGATAAGAGAAGTGCCATTCACAGTGTTTGTATTGTGCAGAAACCTTGAAAGCCATAGGAAGCTCAACAATGTAGAGATCCACATAGTCTAACTTCAAGGCTTTCAGCGTCCTCTCCAAGGCCGGTCTCACCAACTCTGGTGGATGGAAGGTATTCCAGAGCTGAGGAAGATAATACACAACATTAACTGCAGCATAGCACACAACTCTGCTGTGCTCTGTTATCCAGTTCAAAGTCCTGAAGCGTAGCATTGTGAAATCTTACATTAAATTGAAAAAAAGAAAAAGAAAAGCAAACTCAAACAAATGAGACTCTTGTCTGACATCTGTCAGAACCTATTACCTTCCCACAGTAAAAGATGTCCTCTCTTTTAACAGTTCCATCGGCAATCTTCTCCCTTATGGCTTGACCCACTTCGTGCTCATTGAAATACACTAGTGCCCCATCAAAGTGCCGGTAACCCACATCTATGGCTAACTTCACACACTCGAGTGCAGTGCCTTTGGGTGTCTGAGAGAAATCCACAGAAAATGTAAATATTATCTGAACTGGTTTGGATTGAGACGTGCTGCAATTTGTGCACATAAGCATTCGTGGTTGAATGATAATGTTAATGTTTGTCCAGCAATAAACACTGACACTACTAAATAGTTACAAGCTATTCAAGTAGTAAATCACATAAACATTATAGGCCTATGTTTTCCTTCTTACTGTTCGAGGGTCTCCATAGGTGCCCAGTCCCAGCAGAGGAATGTGGTTTCCATCACTGAGAGGAATACTGTGGTTCTCTGCAGACATATCCATTACAGATTAACTGAGCAGCTCTCTGGCCTGCTGATTTGATAATATAGTGCATGACCTTGCACTTTGAACCTTGAAGCATTAACTTACATTCACATAAGTTAGTGATTTCTGACTGAGAGCATTTGCAGACTCCAACCAAAAGAGTGAATATTTGTATTTTACATTATGACACATTTTATAGAGGATGGCAAGAGTAATGGAAATAATAATAAAGCACAATACAAATATGCATTCATGCATCTCTTTCTAATTTACTACATTACAAAGTCATTCATTATTACCTCCAACAACATTACCTTTCATCACTGTTTGTTTGATAGTTAACAGGATTATGAAAAAGTTACTGAACTGATTTGTTTGAAATTTTGTGGAGGGGCGGGACATGGTCACATGATCACAATAGAGGGGCGGATACAGGATTTTTTGTCAACATTTACCACAGAATTGATTCAATCTATGACAGCAGAGGGGATTCACGTGCATAAATGTCACTCTCATGCAAAATAGATTCAGAGTGAGAGGTAAAGAGTGAAAGATACGTTCTTGCATGAGAGAGAGTACTGCATTGCATGCCACTTGCCACAGCTGCAACTGAAACTATGACGTTTAACTGCTCACAGCTGTGGAAGTTCAGGTGGCAGGAGGGGCACATGTCCAGGTGATCATGACCGATCACAGCGGATGCTAAAAAACTTATGGACCATATCATGATAGCAGGATAGCATAAGCACACTAGTGGGCATCCACCAAATAGCACTACAAATAGCGCTGCACACAGCATTACAATGGATCAATGGACCAAAACACCAAGTTAGAGATCTCTTATGTTATGAGAAGTGTAAAAACAACATTTGGTAAATTTTTGTTGGATAACAGAAGTACTGATGCTAATGGAAGTAGCAAAGCTACCGTGCACCCCGTGCATGCCCTTGGGCGAGAGCTTGTTTGCAGTTTGCAAATGTAAACGCAGTTTCAGAGGATATCATAATACATTTAGGCTAAAAACATGGTGTACGAGTTGAATTTGACTGTCGGGCCTTATGGACACTTGGTTGACACCACAGGAGCAGTATGGAGGCGTTTTTTTCTGTTGGTCTTTTTACATCTGAAGAAGGACTCCCCAGTTACTTCAATTGTATAAGATTTGGCTGCAACACTGTTAACCACTGAAACTCCTAAAGTTTTTTGTGGACTCAAACACTTCACCCACCACTCCATCAGCATAGTGGTGAATAGATTATGAGTTAATTTACATTTTTGGGTGAACTGTCTCTTTAAGGCATCTTTTTT